GCTCAGAAGGAAAGAAATACAAGTGCGGTTTTAGCCCTCCCGAGATCGAATATCATCGAAACTGCGAGAGTTTAGTATTTTACCTTGTTAGAACCTGAGTTTCCGCTTTTCCCTTCCAATTCCACCCTTACCACTTCCATAACTTCCCTGCCCGTCCTATCCGTGTCAGACCGCAGCCCGTGAGGAGATCCCGAAAAAAAATTCTGCCTGTCCCTTTTTTCCCCCTTCTTCAAAAATAATGAACGGGTAATTTTATATTGTCATCCCGTTCGCCGGAAAGGTGCTTTTTATATCTAGATAATTCATCCAAGGCCACACTATACCGGAAAATTAAGATAGAAAAAAGCCCAGTTTCGGAAAAGCACGTTTGCCCTCTTTTTTTTCAACTTTTACGTTTTAAAGAATTAGTTGACTTTTACAAGCGTTTTATAATATATTAAAGATCCTATAAAATTCTTTTGTAACATTTTTACTCCGACAAAAATTATAAATTAAAGGAGCATGGATGAGACTCACTCTCTAAGCTGAGTAAAAGCATAATCCAAGGTTCTTTTTTTTAAAGCCGTTTGGTAATGAGTTTTCCCTGAGAGAAATTTAATTGGCTACCGGCGTAAAATATCCCAACAACGTTAATGAAAGTATACCGTACTTTCTCAGAACGGATTTAATCCTTTGCCGTGGTGCAAAGAAAGAAGGGCATTTTGATCTCTTTGCTTTTGAGCCTAGTTAGAATGGAAAGAGGCGGCAGAGTAATTTCTTAGAAAGGAATTGTGGGATTTATAATTTCATTTGGGATGTTTTTCACGAGCTTCCTCCGGCTCCTTTATTGGGATATACGGCCCCAAGTTTCCTTTCAACAGATTTAACTTTTGATCCTGTCCGTGAAACATCAAAATCTATTTGAAATCAATCCATTCAAATAATAATGCTTCAACTTTAAAAAATATGCCGAATCAAATTTTGCAGATTATTGCATAATTTGGTGAAAATTGGAGCATTTAGTCTACTTCATTAAAAAAAAATAAATGTAATATTAATGATTATCTGGAGATCGTCTGGTGTGTCGTAGGTTTTAGAAAAACATTTTCTTTATCATTCCAATGTTTCGATATTTACTGAGATCATCTTCAGGGCCTGGGATTAATAAACATTGTTAAATTTTAGAAATACACGTAGCATGTGGGAAAAGAATGAATTTATACAATGCTAGAAAATTTTCTATAAAAAAAATGAATTTATACAATGCTAGAACATTTTTGATTAAAAAAATCAAATGAATTTATACAATGCTAGAAAATTTTTGATTAAAAAATCAAATGAATTTATACAATGCTAGAAAATTTTCGATTAAAAAAATGAATTTATACAACGCTAGAAAATTTTCGATTTTAAAAAATCAAATGAACTTATACAATGCTAGAAGATTTTCGATTAAAAAAACAAACAAACAAATGAATTTATACAATGCTAGAAAATTTTTAGATTTAATAAAAGAATGAATTTATTCAACTCTAGAAAATTTTAGATTTTAAAAAATCAAATGAACTTATACAATGCTAGAAGATTTTCGATTAAAAAAACAAACAAACAAATGAATTTATACAATGCTAGAAAATTTTTAGATTTAATAAAAGAATGAATTTATTCAACTCTAGAAAATTTTAGATAAAAAAATGAATTTATACAATGCTAGAAAATTTTAGATTTAATAAAAGAATGAATTTATTCAACTCTAGAAAATTTTAGATAAAAAAATGAATTTATACAATGCTAGAAAATTTTTAGATTTAATAAAAGAATGAATTTATTCAACTCTAGAAAATTTTAGATAAAAAATGAATTTATACAATGCTAGAAAATTTTAGATTTAATAAAAGAATGAATTTATACAACTTTAGAAAATTTTAGATAAAAATATGAATTTATACAATGCTAGAAAATTTTTAGATTCAATCAAAAGATTTGTGCTGAATCTAACATTTTCTAGCATTGTATAATGTTTTTTTTTTATCTAAAATTTTCTAGTATTGTATAAATTCATTTTTTTCATTTAAAATTTTCTAGTGTTGTATAAATTCATTTTTTTTATTAAATCTAAAAATTTTCTAGCATTGTATAAATTCTTTTTTTATCTAAAAATTTTTAGCACTGTATAAATTCATTTTTTTTACCACATCCTACATGTATTTGTAAAATTTAAACAATGTTTATTAATCCCAGGCCCTGAAGATGATCTCCATAAAGATCAAAACGTTGGCATGATAAAGAAAATGGTCTTTAAAACCTACGTCACACCAGACTGCACTTCACGGTCTCCAAATAATTATTGGCTAGCGGTCACTAAAAACCACACATAATAAATAATTTTACAACCATTACATTTTCTCAACCCTCTTTTTGGGTTAAGTACCTAATAGCATATACAGATGTAATGTGCCATTATCAAAAAACTACCACAAAAATTTAATATGTAAGTTATATTAACCCCTAAAGCCTCTCCTTTGTACCTCATCTTTCAGAAAGAATAGCCACGATAAATTTGGGTTTAAATGGACCTTGGCCAAAGTTTATTATTAACAAAGATAATAATAATGTCTCTAATAATGCCTTAATGTCAAAATTCATCTATTAAATCAGTCTTTTGCTTTTGGTTTGTTATGCTGTTAAAACATGGTGCTTTCAATTGTATGAGAAACTTGAACAATTTCTGTGATTTTTTTTTTACATAGAAAGTTTCTTGCCTAGCCATCGCTCTCTTCAAACTTCATGTTATCTATTAAAACTGCCTTATATCCTTTATTCTAAATTACTCTCTCACTATAAAATACTGCTTAAAATATTTATCACCTACAGATTTCCCTGTTTCCCAAAAATAGCTGGTCTTTGAGTAATAAAAAAGGAAACCATTTCAAAGAGTGGACATCACTGTCTTGAAAACATTCCTGTTCGATTTAAGGTATCATCATAAGGAGTGTGTGCAGTGTGCAATGCCTTCTGATTCTCATTACATAAAGACAATTATAACAGAATATAAAGTTCATCGCAAGCCAGTTATACAAGTGAGCCTGAATCTGGTTGAGTTAATATTGTTTCTTAAACTCGAGGGCGAGTAACTTTACTCTAAATTATAAATCATGGCTAATTCACTAATTTCATGGTCCGCTTGACCAATTAATATATTACAATTAATTAAGGTTTTCAGTTGAGATGAAAAAAAGTTAATGGCACGAGCGGGATTCAAACCCACGATCTTCAACTTGATACGCCGCTGCTCTACCACTTGAGCTATCATGACCTTGATCCACTCGGACACCAACTTCCCATCTCAACCGCACCTTTTGAATTTTCTCTCTTTTTTGCCATTTTATTTATTTTATGGCTAATGTCGAAATGTGTTCGCTTTTTAATTTAAACACATGAGAAGATTTTTATCACTTCTTGGGTATATGTCCCCAATTCAGGGTGATAAGAGCAATTTATTTTGGCAAGGAAAAATCTGCTGAGGGAAGAAATTCTCCCATTTTTAACTGAACGGATTGATGTTCATCGTTTAATTAAGTATGCCCAACATGAATTTAGAGTGAGATTTGGGTGGTTGTTAGATATATAAACATCCCTGTATCATCTAAGTGTTGTATAATAATTTTGCTTTTTTTCTGCATATTAACTTTTAAATAAATAATAAATAAAAAAGAATGTTATAATTAATCTGGGAATATTCTCTAATTATGTGCACTTTTATTATTTAGTTTTAACACTGTATAGATTTTATTTTTGTTTATGTTGCAACAAACTAAGCTAAGCTATTGTTTTAAATACTTATAAATTATATTAGCATTTTTAATTTTTTATTAAAGTTATTATTATTGATATCATCATTTTATGTTAACTATTATTGTTGTATAAATTATTAAATTTTTTTTATCGCACTGCTATTTTTGTTAGTATGCCATTCTTAGTATTATTGTCAGTAGTTGCTCCATTTGACCCTACTGTCCGTGCGTTCAAAAATTTCCTTGGCCAAACAATCAATGAGAGCATATCGGTATAGGCAAAGCTTGTATTTTAGCTTCAAAATTGAATTTTTACAAAGGAATTGAGATCTTGTAGGATTAAAAATTATCAGTACATGCAATTTAATTTGTTGTAATCAAACGTATCATCCTGAAGTTTACTGATTTTATCAGCTCTTCTTCAGTAAGTGCCCAGTAGCATTTTATTAAACAGGTCTGTGGGAAGATATTAAAACATAATATGGTTTCAAGTGCAAAGATATTAATATTGAGATCATATAGCACCAGAAAGAATGCAATGTGCGTTTAATACAGTGCTATATTATCTCAATGTTTAATTTGTACCTTTTACCGGTTTAAACAGATGTACCTACATATAAAAAAAATACAATAAAAATATTTGAATATAATAATTTCATTCAGATTTTTAATTTTGAAGAATTTTTAATTGTGAATAATATGGAGAAAGTAATGTACCGGATTTGATTCCTTGTCCATGACACCCAAATTGGGACGTTAAGCCCTCCTGTATGGCAGAAATTACTTTATTTTACTTTTATTAAAATATAAAAATATTTTTGTTATGTAATTAACAATTTCTAAATAAAAAAATACTAAAATTATATCTAAATTCTGAAAAACTGTTGTTTCTCTGAAAACCTACATGTGCCTTGCATTACATCGATCGTGGCACAATAATTTATTTTAGCAAAATGAAAAGTGTCCTGGAATGCAGGAAATATTCAAATAATTCAATTAAAAAATTATTAAAATCTATAGACAGTGTAGTATGGTCATTATTAACCATTTTGGTCTGCATACACTCGCTGGGTTGGCATTTCGGCATTATGCCATCTTCAATGCCTGACTTAGGCAATTCTTGTTATTAGAGAAATCTCACAATTTACAGACAAGATTACAAATACTCAGAAACATAAAATGAAGACTACTTTATTCGCAATAAATATATGGAAATTTTGTTTTCAGGTTTTACCGGCAAATTCTGTCAAGATACAACAGATCCTTGTCAGTCCAGCCCTTGCCAGCATGGTGGGTCATGCAGGCAGAGCAATGAGACAGCTCATCAGTATAAATGCACTTGCAGTCCTGGTTTCACCGGAACACTCTGTCAAACCCCCCTGGATATTTGCGGTTCTTATCCTTGTCATAATGGGATCTGTGTTAACGAACATGATGGCTTCAGGTGTTTTTGTAGACCAGGTGAGTCAAAAAATTTACAGTAGGAAAATTATGACAACTAAATATGAGAAAGTACAGTGTCTTTTATTAAAGCTTTAAAAAAAATTGAAATCAATTCATTACAGCATGTCAAATGTATCAAACATTAATTTTTTGATAGGATTCACCGGAAATCAATGTGAAGAGGAGTATAACGAGTGCGAGTCCTCGCCTTGCAAGAACGGTGGCACATGTATAGATCGTGTAAATGCTTTCTCTTGCACCTGTCCACCAGGGTACACTGGTAACAGATGTCAGTACAGGGTAGTTAAGGTAAATAATATTCAATCAGTTTTGTTTTTTTTCCAAATGAGAATATCGTTCTGTCTGACTGTAATTGTTTCTGTAGAACTTATGCGAGCCAAACCCATGTTCTCACCATCATTACTGCATCAACAAACCTAACAACACGTATTCATGCGAATGTCCAAAAGGTTATACTGGTGCTAACTGCCTTATTCCTACAAGAGCGGTATGTACAACTTGTCCCTAGGTGATAGATATTATTTAAGATTTAAGTCGTTTGTTCAGTCAATTGTATGATTTTTATTCGGCACATCTAGGCATGCAGTGCTAACCCATGCAGAAACGGAGGAACTTGCTGGAGCAGTGTCGACTCATTCTACTGTGCCTGCCGCCCTGGATTCACTGGAAAAATTTGCAACGGTAATACACAAAATGACACAAACTCTTTTGTTTTAAAAATAGCATTTTTTTTTTCCAGAGGAGGTTATAATGGAAGCGATACCATCAGCTTCTGATACGATAGAGATAGATGGAAGTGATCCTGTCATGGATCTAGAAACACCATTGGATATGTCAAGAGTACCATTGCACCTGGATCATCTTCATAACGTATATGTTGCAGCTGGAACGCTAGCTTGTGCTATACTCATCGTGATTGTTACTGTAAGTTAATCTTAAAGAGGTTAATATCAATAATTTGGTTTCTTCATAATCATCCTGGTCTGCCTATTTTCACTGGTTTTCTCTGTCATACATGTTTTTCTTTTTTCCTAAACTTCAGTTTTTTCCTAGTTCTGACTCCATCTAATATGACTGTTTATGAAAAAAGCGCAGACCAGAAATGATCAACCCAAAGATTTCTAGATCAGCATAAAGATTTACATTATATGGAAAGTAATGTCTAATTAATAAAGTAAAATTTTGGCATCCTGAATATTATCAGTGATTCCAGCCTATTTGTAAAATAAATTGTTTAATTATTTTTAGTTTATAGTGCAGTTTGAAAAATATTATTGATAAAGCCTATTATTTCAGAAAGAACTTTACAAATATACAAGAAGGCTTCAAACTTATTAAGTTCACATTGTTACAGGTGATTATCTGCCATTGCCGAATGCACGAGACTTACAAACACTGTTGCTTTAAGACTTCGCCTCTGATTCCATGTCATATAACACGACTTGACACTGTGCTGAAAAAGAATGGGTATAAAATTGCTTCATTGCATTATTAATTTTTAGAACTTTTCCTTGATTCCTGTCGTTTTCAGCATTGAAAGGGATAAAGAGCCATTGGCCAAATCGAGACCGTTCCCCGCACTCGATTCATCTGACATGTACTATGCTCTGGACTTTAGCGACTCACAGTCATCACCTCTCATCCAATAGACACAGCCGACGGTTCAATACACCAGACAATACGAACATCTGCTGCCCACTTTAATACGGAGTTGAGCTTTTACCGTTCAAAAGTGACACATGAATTTCTGATAGATTGTATTTAACAGAAGGATAGTTTCGTCTTTATGATATATACAATTTCTCACGATTAAGTTTTTAATCGACTTTTCTCATTAGAAATGTTGCTTAGAGAACTCAAAAGTGAGAAGAATTTAAGAAAAAATATGCATACTTAAATGTTTTGAATGTAATCCATTGAATCTTTATACTGAGCTTACTATAAAAGTTTGGAAAAAAATGAATAAAATAAAAAGGAAGGCAAGAAATAACATAGTGTATATAATAAAGTAGATGTAATTACAATTTACGTTTATTCTTTTTTTTTTTACATTTTAGATTTAAATCTTCTACCTCACAAAAAAAAATTATTAATAGTGTTTTTTTCCTCCAGTAGTATTCTTGCTGTTAAATGTTGAGATGTTCAATGTATAAGACAATTGTGGTATGAGTACAAGCAGACTATTTTAATGTGCACAATCAAATGAAATTGCTCAAGGGCATGCAGGAATCTCACTTTCAATGTGCCAAAAATAACAATTCACATATCTGTTGTTAGTGTATTCTGATGAATTTATTCCTGCTCAAAATCTATAGTTGTAGAAGATTACATTTGGAAAATAAAAATAAAATTAAACCACAAGTTTAGACAGTGGAAATAAAAGCTTCCATATTGTGCATTGTTAATAATTCAAGTTAGAATATTTACAGGGCTAACTGATTCACCCGCTTTGTAGTCAGTGTGAAAAAGAATTTATTAACAGGTGTTAACCCCCAAAATAGGTATTTATTCCATTGTTGTACCATTATTGTAATTGGACATGTCAAGTTTGTATATGAAACTATTTTAAAAAATCAAATAAATTCAAAAATTGTTTTAATACAAAAATTGATATGGATTAATTAAATCTGAATAAATACAGTTTTATTTCAATAATTGTTTTAATTTTACCCTTTTTCATTTATTAATTGATTTATAAGCTCAACTCTGCACACATATGCATATCACCAGAATTGAACTTATGACTTACTGTGCTTTGCCACACCTACTTTGGTGTTATGGCAGTCCACGTCAGACCTCGTCTTATCCACTCTGAAGCTTAAGTTCAGTTCCAAAGACTGTCAACAATTAGGATATTTCAGCCCCGAATGCATGTAGGATTTTAACCTTAAATACATACTTACACAGTCTTAAATAAATATTTTTTTATTTAGAACTTCCTAGTGGAAGAGGTATCTCACCCAAATAAGAATAGGCCATTGGATGTGTCCAATTTGTAGAGAAAAGTTGCTCTTTTTGTCAGATCTTGTTCTTATTGTCCTGCCACAGAGGTTAGGTCATTGTTTACTATTACATATTATTAACTCAAATATATAAAGAGGTATTTGCCAACAAAGATTAATTGTAAGATATTATCAGGGTTGTGATAATAAGATAATTGGGGCTTCGGTGGCCGCAACAGTTTATGCATTGACATGACGCTCATCACTGTAAGGTAAAGGTCCCAGGTTCAAATCCAGCATCAATGTATTCGAGCTGGCATATTTACAAATGGGCTTTTTTTTTAAACACTGACACCCCAAGATATTATGATGGCCTCTGCTGTTGTGAACCCTTGTTTAAAATAAAATCAAGATGAGTTTCTACAGCAGCCAGAACAGCAATATGTAACTTCTATCTATCCCTGATGAAAGCATAATAAAAGGTTAAGAGCTTGGCAGTTGCATAATACAGACAATTAATGATGACTAGAAACTTGATACCACCCAACAATTAACCTAAATTGCTGGATATCCTCATATAGTTGGTAAACTGGGATTCTCTTAGTTACGCAGCATAAAAAAGCAATTTCTTCTTAGTCCTGATGAAGGACTAATAAAAGATTGAAAACATGGCACTTGCATAATTAGAGTAAATTATTATGTAGTAGAGTACGTGATATTCCTCCAACACCTTTTACACATACTATATAACTAATTTAATTGAGGGTCAATGACTCTCGGCTCTTTCATACTACCCATTCAATCTCAATACCAATAGAGAAGAAATAAAAAATGAGATATCTATGAAATATACAATAGAATAAACATGTTTCCTTCAAAAAATCAGAAAGGGACCCAAACACTCATTAACATCACACTAACACTAACAAGTACTATTCTCACATCAGGTGGCATTCCTCCATATAGAGCCAAGGAGTGGCACCCCATGGGACAGATCAAACAACCTTTCTCTACAGACCGGACATATACGCTGACTTTGGCTCTAAAATAAGTGTCTATGTTTAACCTCGTATGACCTATTCTTAACTGGTTGATGATAATCACTCTTTTACATTCAGAACCTCTGAGAGCTATTGACCATCATCTTGATATGTTGGCATTTGAGGCAAGCTGAAGTGATTCCTAGTGAAGTCATCCCATCAAATCACCATATTGTTAAGTGGAGAAATAAATTATCTAGTATGAGTCATTCCTGTCATACAGACACGGGGTCAAACATTGCAATACTTTTCTCTTATTATTCTCAATTAAAATTCAATGAGCTATGCTGGGATTTAAATACCGCTAACATGGCAAATAAAAGTCAGACGCCCCAACCACTCGGCAATCACCTAAATTGCCTAGTATGTACTGTATTATAAATATAAATAAAGAAAATTGATAATATTAATAATTAGTTTCAATTAATTATTCTTTTTATGTAAGGTCTTGGTTGAGTTGAAAAAGTCAGTGTCACGAGCGGGATTCGAACCCATGACCTTCGGCTCAATGCGCTGCTGCTCTAACCACATGAGGTATTGTGACTTCGATCTACTCAGACACCAACTCTCCATCTCAACCTGCAAACTTTTTTTTATATACAGATTAAAGTCATGAAAGCTCAAGTGGTTAGAGCAGCGGTGTATTGAACCAAAGGTTGTGGGTTCGAATCTCACTCATGACACTGACTTTTTCATCTCAACCAAGACCTTAGATAAAAATTATAATTAATTGAAATCATTAATATGATCAATTAGACCACTAAGCATAAATGGATTAATTAATAATAAGTATAAATTTAATGGTGGTTTTTGTAAATGGCTGACATCAGTTTGACTACCCACCCCTAACTAGAAGGGGGTGACTCTTGAGATGGTGGGGTGGACGTCAGTAAGTAGGCAGTGTGTACACATCTATCCGAATTATTATACTAATTAAAAGTTGATCGCATTTTATTTTTAAATAAATTTACAACTTTTTCGTCGTATCGGGATAAAACAAGCATCCATTTTGCCTTCTTTAAACATCCTAAATAAATTCTTTACGCTCTGCACAGAAAATTTCTAAATTTAGGGCCGACTAGAAATAACGATAGATAGGCGGTTGGTTTTCTCGATCCTCCCGCTGTTTAATTGAACGGCTTTTAAAAGCGATAACTAACTGTTAAAGATTAAAAACTGGATGTTATTTCCGCTGTAAGTATAGTGGGGACGGCGGCACCCCGAAGGAGGCCTAGAGCAAGAGATTCCGGGGGTCGGGTTAGGAGGGAGAAAGAAATCTGTCAGTGAGGCACCGGCCAGTCGGCGAAGAACATGTCTGCCAGAGGATGACTGTGAGTTATCAGTATGAGGTCGCTTCCTCGACCAGCGGAGGATTCACCAGGCTTCTCTTCATGTGGAGAGGAAGCCTGTACAAGCTCATTTACCGGGAGCTTCTTCTCTTCCTAGTCGCGTTCGGCCTCCTCAGCGCCCTGTACAGAAACGCTTTTACCCTCGAACAAAAAAGGTGAGTGCTTTTTTAAAAAATCTACCCGTATTAAAATATACTGAAACAAACAAAATAGAGTAAAATTTGAAGCTAAGCTTTCAAAGCAGTTCATTCAACTTTTTCATAATGTGTATAATGTTTATCGGTTGTCAAATCAGAATTAAAGCTTAAAAACGCGCTCTTACATACATTTTATTACAATTAAAGCACTGAAATAGAAGGTAACTATAAGCGAATAAAATAACTTAAAAGCGAAAAACCGTTCAAGCCTGACGTAAAATGATCATTGGTCATTAATCATTCAATCAACTTTGTTTTTTTAGCCTAACACAATATTTCAGCATTAATATGAAAGATTATTGTTTTCCTATAATAAAAACTATTTATTTTCTAATTTGATCATCATGAAAGATCTAAATGCATTTATGTAAATTTATAAACTAGCCTAGAGTAAAGAAGAAACGTAATGTTTTTCCTCTTTTTTTCTATATACATTTAATTGTTGCATGCTGTATAAATTAGAAAACTGTGAATGTGAAATTTGCAAAGATTATTGGGTTTTTTTATGAAAATTTGTATGTCAAAGAATCTTGTCATTAATAATCAATAATCTTAAATGGGTTTTATTAATAGTAAATTAAATACGATTATGTTTTATGTATTAGGTCGAAAGGAATTAGACTCTCGTCCTAGCGTTGTTGCCAATGGGCATTTTCTAACTAACAAATTTTTTTATGTTGATTTATGTAAATTTTTTAAATTATAATTTTCTGCCTTCGTTGTTCATGTATTTCAAGGTTTTTATATAAAAGTAAATTCGAATTTAACTTACAATAAAAAGTAATATGCCAGATTGTATAAAATACGGTTAGATATCTTCTACTAGATATATTTTTGCCTTGTAATATCACTTGATTTGTATATATTTTTATATATTAATCAAATTTTCACGTTTTTTAACGTTTAATAATTGAGTCTTTGTCTAAAAAAGTTTTAAAAAAATGTAAATTGCTAAGTAAAATTTTTAAAAAATTACAAAAAAACGGACAGATAAAATTCGTTTTAATTTTGTTTTAGATTTTTCATTAATATTTCAATATCGCTTGTTACCTCCTCCTGACTTAATTACATCTCGAAGACGCCTCGGCATACTTTTTATCAGTCTGGAAATGTCTCTTTGCTGGAGGTTAGTCCATTTTTGAAGAAGAGTCCTTTCAAGATCGTGGAGTGAATCAGGAAGTGATGGACGTGCTCTTATTCGTCTTTTGTGGTTGTCCCATAAATGTTCGAGAGGGTTCAAGTCTGGAGAACGGGCTGGCCAAGACTGGTCTAAGACCCTGACGTTATGCTGTTCAAGATACGTTTGTACTATGCGAGCGACATGTGGACGGGCATTATCGTGCATTAAAATAGGATTGTCATGATTCCACCGAGGATAGGCAATGCATGATGTTCCAAAATTTCATCCACGTAGTGACCGTCAAAGACACTCCACGAACAACAACCGACTTTGTGCGACTCCCCATTGAAATTCCCGCCCACACCATCAGAGAACAACGTTGAAAAGGTTGTCGCTGGGAAAAATTAGAAGCTTCGTACCTTTCATTTCGCCTTCTCCACACTCTTTCACGTCCATCTGGAGATCTTAGAGCAAATCTATTCATATGTAAAAAGTACAGCGGACCAATCGTTCAAAGACCAATGGCTGTGTCCTCGAGAAATGGATGCCGTGCAACTGGGCCAAGTCATCAGTCCATACTGATTTAATCTTCTTTGAGCAGTGCGTTCCTTGACACCTTGAACTAACTGGAGCTGATGAATCGCTCGAACAACCGTAAGCGGCCGGTTTCGCAAAATTCTCAAGTAGAAAAACGGTCATCCTGTGGTTTTGTTACCCTAGGAAGTCCAGAACCATCTATGGTAGGACCCAGTTTCTCGAAAACGTCTAACGGCGTCTCTTAGTGTTTCGAAGGGAACTCCGATGGCAATAGCCGCATACCTGATGAACGTCCATCATGATAAGTGCCACACCACGCGCAAAATTCTCAGCACTAAGTGGCTTAAGTTTAAAAATTGAAATTAAGAAAACAAAGATGAAAACTACACAGTTTATTTCTTCAGAATTCAAATGAGACTGAATAAACGTTTTAAATTCCGTAAAAAGTGAACATTGAAAAATGATTTACCCTTGTTTTGGATTAAGGATTAAGAGTGTTTACCTCTAATTGATATTCTAATTTAAAACATAGCATAAACAAATATTTATTGGTAAAAACAATTAGACAAATTAAGGGCAGAATTTTCTTTTATCGAGAAAATGAAAAAAAATCAATTGGGTGGAATTTTTTGCCTGTCAGTGTATAATTATAAAAATGTTGTAAAAAACCAAATCATGTAGCAAAAAGTTTGAATTTAGGGAATCTTTGGGTCCCCTGTTCCGATTTTTAGTGGAAAGGAAGCTGCTGTATCTGAACTCTTAAACTGCTCCACAAATTTTCGTTCTTAAGGCTTAAACAAAGTTCTGTCGTCAAATTCACGAGAAAAAAATAATAACACTAAAATAGCAAAGTCTTACTCGAACTATAGATATTGGTCTGCTAATTTACTTTATTTACTAAATTAACTACTTTGTTGAAAAATAATTTATCTATTATTGTTTTTAGTATTTTTGATGTTTAGTTGGTGTTTTTATATGTTTTTATTTATTATCAAGGATTTAAAAACATCTATATATGTGCCTGATAAAGATATTGCAAATTAACTCAGCCCTGAAGATGTTTACAAATTAAACGAAAGCTTGGCACGAAGTTGGGAGTTTCAATGTTTCTGTGGCCTAATACTTGATTATCACACATACTTTGAGGACAGATTCACCGTTTCATATCGGATTTCTTGCCACACGAAGGTAAAGTTCCGTCGTACGGTCAGTTATATTTTATATACTACTCCAAAGCTGTGGATGTGCGTTCAGGAAGTCCAGAAAGTTAAAACCTAGAGTGCCCTCTTTTGACAGCCTTTGGTGGCATTTTGGCATAAAATAAGTTTTTGTTGAAGCATATAAGACTGCAGCTGAAACAATCCAAGCCGAAAGTTTTTACTAAAATGGATGGAAGTGCGTTGATGCAGAAAAAAGCTGGAGTTTTCTATTATTCAGAAGGAGAACCGCCAACGATACATCGTTGTGCACTATCGTCAAAGCGATCCAAAGTTAATTTTTGTTTTAAGCCCTCATTGTGATCTCATTGGGTACCCACTAATTGTGTAGGTACCACTGTGGTGAGCCAGGATGGGACTTCAAAGACTCATTACGGCAAGCGAAAACGACTAACAATATTGCTACAGTTTGCTAGCTATCGACATGTTATTCGTAATCCGTTTTCTAAAGTTCATAAATCATATCGTTCCATGATTCCGAATGTAGAATGAGGCTTTTGCCATGACAGGTCATTAGTTGTATACAGTCGCTGATAGATTCTTGTTTTCCTTTTGTGCATATTGAAAGTATTTATTAGCGCGAGTGTGTAATAAGGGTTGATGGTACCTATCGAGCCTCAGTTGTATTAGTTATAGGGCGATAGCGATTGCGATTTATTAGGTGGTATCAGGTTGTAGTCATCAAGTTGTTGTCAAGGAGGTATCGACCAATGTAGGTGAATTGTTAGGTAGTATCAAGGTACAAGTTATCAATAAATGACTATTCAATTCACTAATTTCCTGGTCCGCTTGACCAATTAATACATTACAATTAATTAAGGTTTTTAGTTGAGATGAAAAAAAGTTAATGGCCCTTGCGGGATTCGAAAAATGGCAAAAAGGAGGGAAACTCATAAGATGGGGTTGAGATAGGAAGTTGATGTCCGAATGGATCGAGGTCACGATAGCTCAAGTGGTAGAGCAGCGGCGTATCCGAAGACCGTGGGTTCGAATCCCGCTCGTGCCATTAACTTTTTTTCATCTCAACTAAAAACCTTAATTAATTGTAATAAATGACTATATTCAATCTTTCAATCTTTTCGTTGGCCTTCATCAGAGCTAGGTAGAACCGCATTGCTGTTCTCTGCTGCTGTGTAAACACATCTTGGACTAAGAGTATCCCAGGTGGTATCAAGATTGCAGTCATCAACAATTATGCAACTAACAAGGTTAATTATTTTATTAGGCTATCATGGGGGTTAGGTAGTAACGTGTTGCTGTTCTTTGCAGCCGGAGGAACTCACCTTGAATCATCTTACATTACCACAACCCTGATGCCACCTATCTACCAATCTTTGTTAGCAATACACTTTAGTGAATAATATGTAAATAGGAAAGAATGTATTTAAGAGTGTGAGTGTATCAAGTTTTAAAAACATAAACAAACAAATGACTTAGTAGTTGACAGCTTTAGACCGACTTTTGCGACGGGGCAATAAGAACGAGGACTGACAAATCGAGCTATATTTCTCTATATGCTGGACGCATCCTTCTGGCCTATTCTTATTCGGATGAGTTCCTCTTCTACGATTCATTTCTTCCGAGGTCGGCCTACCGACCAAGCTCTTGATACGTGACAGCTTCTATGCCGATCCAACCCACCTACGATTCCATTTCTTCTAAAATACAAAACTTGATTTCCAAATATACCTTTTGAAATACCAAAATCTTTCTTGAAATTTATTCACCAGCGAGAACCATTAAATTTCGATCAATTCCATTAATGTTAACATATTAAATTACTGCTTATTAAATTAAAACCTAGCGTGCAACGACGTACAACATAAATTTTAACCTAGATTGTGTTGGGATCATTTAATAAAATACAATCCCAAGCTGGCTAATTGAATTAAATAGTTTCACTAATGAGCTATTCATTAATTTTATATTAAAAACTAAGTAAAATAATAATTAACACATCTCACATGTTGTCCTATATTTAGCTTTAATAATAATTTAATTATATACGACTAAAGCCTTTTAATTGCTGTTCGTACATATGTAAAAACCAACAAAAATATTACTTTTTATTAAATAATTTAATT